TGTGTGTACTGCTGTTTCATGGGAAACTATTTGTTCTGTGGGCCTTCACCTGAAGTGCAATGGAGGAAAAAAAAAAGATAACAGTTTTCACTGAAAATATTACAGAACTCTTATAAATTCAACTTCTCAATAGTAATACATTGATTTTCTTCCTAGGATATAAATTCACTTTCACTACCATTTACTACGAAAAATGCTAAACTATAACAGTAAAAGACTAAGTTTTTTTGTATAAGACATCTATTTTGTTATTTTAATACTAAATAATCATATAGCTTTTGAAAGAGAAGGCTGCAGGTAATGTACCACTCAGGTCTACAGCTAGACTATTTCTGCAATAATCTGTCTTAATTTCTTTCACTTGGAAAAGAGAATACATATATACTCCGTTGACGGAAAAGAAAAAAATTCAAAGAAGTTGAATACGGCACTGTTTCATCTAGCTTCAGTGTTACAACACACCATCTGCACTTAAAATACATATATATGGAGCCATGGTGGTGCAATGGTTAAAGTGCTCGGCCGCAAACCAAAAGGTCTGCGGTTTAGCGTCCCAGTCAACTCGATGACAATGGCTTTGGGGTTTTTTTGGTTTTATGTATATACTCACATTTAAATGTATTTGTGTGTGTGTGTGTGTGTGTGTGTGTATCCTGCCTACGGTAACGTTTACCCAAGAGAAATATTACTATCATTCCAGTTTACCTACTTCCATTTTAATGTCGTAATTCTGGCCAAGGACACTCTGTATGAGCTCTTTGATGGTCTGGTCGGCGGCCAGCTGGGCCTCTGACTGCAGCGAGGCGATGATCTCCTCTATGGAAGTCGGGATCACTCGCGCCGGTAGGTGGCCCGCATCGCTCTGCGAGATGCTGTCCCGGTCTGTTTTGGAAACTTCTGACCTGGCCGCCTCCCGCGTCTCGGAGATCGAGTCCTCCCGCAAGACGTGAGTGCGAATCCTCACTCTCCTCCGCCGGCTTAACCCGCCGGCCTCGCTGCTCTCGGGGCACGTGGAGCTGGCCTTCCGCTCTTTGGCCTTGCAGACCTCGGCGAGCGTCGCTGCCCCCTGGGTCGCGTCGCGCTCCCGGGTCAGGTCGAGAACAGGCCTGGAGGTCTCCGGGACTTTGCGCACTCTGGGCTTCAGCGGCGGCGCGGGCGGCGGCAGCAGGATCGTTGGCCTCGACGTGCCGGCCCCCGGGGCGATGACCGGCGGCTTCTTCGGGAGCCGGTACCGGAGGAACGCGGAGCTCCGCAAGTAAAAGTCCTGGGGGCAAAATGGCCTGGTTTTCCAGGGGCTGACGGTCTCGCTCGGGCCCGGAAGGCGCGCTGAGCCCAGGGGCGCTCCCTGCTGGAGGGCCACAGCGGGGGTCACAGGGCCTTTAGCCGGAGGGAACCCAACTGGCTTCTGGGAACCAATGCTGGAAATGCGCCTCCTCTCCCCAGAGCTGCTCGGGCAGAAATCTTCGGGGCCATAGACGAGACCTTTGCCTACGGTGGGCTTATAGGCCAACCTCTGCTTGAATCTGAGAAATTCAGTTTTAGTATCCTTGCGAACCTTCTCAAGCTCTTTAAGCATATATGATTCTTCTTTGTATTTCAGCCCAAAGTGCTTTGGGATCAGGGACATCTTGACAAATGTAACCTGTGAAATAACAAAAATATGTCAAGTTTATTTATGTATTAAAAAAAAACCCATTGCCCTTGAGTCGATTCCGACTCATAGCGACCCTATAGGACAGAGTAGAACTGCCCCACAGAGTTTCCAAGAAGTGCCTGGTGGATTCGAACTGCTAACCTTTTGGTTAGTAGTCATAGCTCTTAACCACTACACCACCAGGATTTCCAATATATGTATTTATTTATATTTATAGATACGGGCGCAGTGGTTAAAGCTCTGGGCTACTAACCCAAAGGTTGGAGGTTTGAACCCACCAGCTGCTCAGCAGGAGGAGGATGCTCACCAGGAAAAAGATGCGGCAGTCGTCTTCTGTAAAGATTTACAGCCTTGGAAATCCTATGGGGCAGTTCTACTCTGTCTTATGGGGTCATTATGAGGTGGAATGGACTTCAAGGCAGTGGGTTTTGGTTTTTTATATGTGTGTGTACATATATATACACACAGTATATATATATAGTATCTATATACACAGTATATATATAGTATCTATATACACAGTATATATATATATATCTACACACACAGTGTATATACATATAAATATATATATATATATAACCCAAACCTGTTGCCGTGGAGTCTTGGATGACAGGCCTGGCAACTTGCTTCTGAAAGGTCACAGCCTTGAAAACCCTATGGAGCAGTTCTACTCTGTACACATCGGAATCAACTCAACAGCAATCAGTAACAACATGGGCAACACACAAGTCCTACATGGCTCAAACAGTTAAGCATTTGGCTGCTGACTGAAAGGTTGGTGGTTCGAGTTCACCCAGAGGCACCTCAGAAGAAAGGCCTGGCATCTATTTCCAAAAGATCAGTCATTGAAAACCCTATGGAGCACAGTTCCAATCTGACAACATGGGGTTGCCATGAGTCACAATCAACCTGATGGCAACTGGTTTGGTTTCTTTGTTTATGGGCAATATATAAGAAAACATCCTCCAAATATAGTCATATTGCTTTTAATTTCTAAACTATCCACTGTTGGTTCTCACACTGAAGACCCTGCTACATCTCATCTGGGGATCAATAGGCTTTCTTTCTCTATCCAGGTCCACCACTGACTAAGCCTTGGACAATTCAATTCTATCTATACAAGGCTTCATATTAAAAAGTGAGAATAATAATCTGTCGCCTATTGTCCACGCCATAGTATACAAACATTAGAAATGATTTCTAAAGCTCTTAAGGAAGTTGCCTGATTTTAAAAATGCTATATAATCCTCCTCATATTATTTTGGCTGTTATTGTTTGCACAGGTGGTAATATATGCATACTGACACCATCTGCATTTCTTTTTACAAAAGGCTGAGAGGTAGTAACTGGAACAGAGCACAGACTAGAAGCACATTAATATCTGATGAGAATCTGACTTGACTCTACTGCACTTCCCTTTTCTTTGTTCCTGCTTTGCATTCCCTTCCCAACTTCTCCCAGGCCCCTGGTTTGCTACTGAAGTTTAACAAGTATCCATTGTTTAACATTTCTTGTACATTCCCTTGAGTTCTTAACAGAAAAGTTGCTCTTTATATCTAAAAATAAACCAATAGCAAATAGAACTTCTAAATTTGACAGGAACTTCTATTGTGTTTTCAAGGTAGGTGGTATCCTGATGCTTAATTGGCCAGTCCATAAAAGCTTGGTGCCTTTATTCCCCCACCACCCTTTGGTACTACAGAATAATGTAAAATGATTTTTAAACATCCAGTCTTATGGGAGAATAACCTGTTCTCTTTTTCTTGGCAACAATTTACTAAAAGGAAGATACTAACTCTGGCTTGGAGATACTCAAGGATAAATAACATAGCTGTCCTAAAAAGAGAAAGTATTAATCTACATCAGGTGTCACGTCTGCTGTTCACAATCCAGTTAAGTTTACCCTACACTTTAAAATGGGACAACAGTATTTGAAATCTTTGCAGTCTTGGCAGTAATTTCACTCTCTTCTTTCCAAATTACTGGAACTCTCAGGGGAAGACTGATGAGAAGGACCTTCATCTAGAGTCAACAGGCAGAGAAAGCTTTCCCCTAGAACTGACGCCCTGAATTTGGATTTTTAGCCTACTTTACTGTGAGGAAATGAATTTCTCTTTGTTAAAGCCATCCACTTGTGGTATTTCTGTTATAGCAGCACTAGATAACGAAGACACTATCTAAAGCAGAAATAAATAGACCTACAGGTGCTAACCAAAGGTTCGCAGTTCAAATCCACCAGCCGCTCCTTAGAAACCCTATGGGGCAATTCTACTCTGTCTTATAGAGTTGCTATGACTCTATGACTTATAGAGTTGCTATGAGTCAGAATCTTATAGAGTTGCTATGACTCGACAGCAACAAGTTTGGTTTTGGTTTTTTAGATGGCTTGATTCCTAGCTACTTCGACCCATTTCACACAGGAAAAGGATTTTTTAACGTTAGGCCATCAGAGTGTTACATTTGGAATGAGGGCCAAAGCCCCAGCTGGTAATATGGATTATGTGGCCTTGACCTCTTCTTATATATAGTCTCAGCCACTTTAGTGGGAGGAGTGGAGGGGGAATAAAGGCACCCATTAAGGACAGGATTTGGCTTCTCTTGGATCCATAATCAAATATCATCTCAATTTATTTCCTAAATTTCATGCTAACATCAACTTCCAATGCACAGCATTAAAGTTCCAAAAGAAACTTCTAAGTCCAAAAGCAGTCTACGTCATCTAGTCAAATCTTCAGCATTGCAAGGAACATACAAATATTCTGAAAACAGTATTTGCTTTTGAAAATATCAGTGGTCAGTGGTAGAATCTAGATCTGTTTGTACCCTGATTACAACCTATGGAAAAGCCTAAAAGGAAATATATAAACATAAACAAGTTTGCTAAGAGAATGGGATAATAGTGATTTTTTTTTCTATTTTTCCACATTTTCCATAATACTTGTTTTGTTGCCTTTAATTACAGTAACATTAATAATAGAAACTAACACTTGTATTTCTAGCCGTTGTGGCACAGTGGTTAAGGCACTCGACTGCTAACTGAAAGGTCAGCAGTTGAAAACCACCAGTGGCTCCGCAGGAGAAAGATGTGGCAGTCTGCTTCCATAGAGATTGACGGCCTTGGAAACCCTATGGGGTTGCTATGAGTCGGAATTGATTCGACAGCAGTGGGTTTTTTTGTTTGTTTGTTTTTTGTTTTTGTTTTTTGTTAACACTTATATTACATTGATTAAAAAGAGCATACAAAATAGAAAAAAGCTGTTTTCAAGCTCAGAAGGCACTTTTTTCTAAACTATTAGCCCACAGAAATTTCAATGACTACAAATACTTAACTTATTCAATTCCTTACAGCCATTATCTAGAGTATACTCATATTCCTTGTGAACATGAATACATACATACATAACAGCTAATGAAACAACAAAATACTCTCACTGCCTTTTTCTTCTTCCCATTTTCTATCCTTCCTTCTGGGACTTCTTCCTTCATCTAACTGATTAAACAGTCAAAATAGGAAAATGAACGTTTTTATTATTATCATTATCATGCTTTTAACATGTTAAATGTTGCATGTTCTCAACTTCAAAAGCAATTTGTTCGAGTTCCACATGTGCATTTTACAGACCAACTCCTCAACTAATAACAACTTATAAACTCTGGACAAAATATAAAAAACAACTACCTGAGGATTCTTAGGGGTAAGCAGAAGAAGGCAGGTTGTGGAGGAGAGTTCAAACATTTTGGAAACAACCAGCCTGGAAGTGAGTTTCCAGATTTTTTGTGGCTTCGTCCTAAAAGTAGTCTGTAATTGCAGAATAGCATAATGCCGAAACCAAACCAAACCCATGGCCGCTGAGTTGATTCTGACTCACAGGAATCCTATAGGACAGAGTAGAACTGCCCCATAAGGTTTCCAAGCCTGTAAATCTTTATGGAAGCAGGCTGCCACATCCTTCTCCCACAGAGCAGCTGGTGGGTTTGAACCACCAATCTTTCAGTTAGCAGCTGAGCACTTAATCATGGTGCCACCAGGGCTCCTTAACATGCAGAAAATCGAGTAGACAGCCCTTCATCATTCTGGCCAAAAAATCAAGGAAAGGAGCCCGGGCACCAGCCGTCACTAGAGAGTGAAAGAGAAATCACAGAGGTAAGAAAGCCAGAGTAGGTAATCTTCTAATTCTGTGTCTAAACCCACGTGAGTTTCAGATTAACCTCTGAACCATGCATATGTGGGACAGCCTCAAAGCAGCACAGTAAAGGTTTAAAGAGCTGAACTGAGATTTGAACCTCCAACCACAGAGAGTGGTAAACTTCCTGTTAAAAGGAAAACATCAACATTCTTGTGTAGAATCCAGACTCTACACGACAAATCATTCACAATGTCCAGGATATAACCCAAAAACACTTGGCATAAAAAGATCCAGGATAGAGTGACCCATTTTCAAAGGCAAAAGTAGTCAACAGATACCAGTCCAGAGATGACACAGACATTGAAATTATTAGGGAAGAACTTTAAGGCACTTATTCTAACTATGCTTAATGAAGTAAGGGAAAATATGCAAGTTATTAATAAAATCTCAGCAGAGAAATAGATAAAAACAGTAATTTCATGCCTGAAAAATACAGTATTTTCAACAAAAATTTGACTGCTTTAAGAGCAGAAGAGATGTCAGAGACAAGAGTTGGTGAACTGGAAGATAGAGCAATAGAAACTAACCAATACAAGAAGAGAGAGAAAAAAACTTTAAGGAAAAAAAGAGAGAGAGCCTCAGAGACCCATGGGGCAATATCCAAAGATCTAACCTATGGGTAATTGCTATCCCAGAAGGAGAGGAGAAAATGGAGCAGAAAAAAATATTTGAAGAAATAACATCTGAGAACTTCTTAAATTTAAAGAAAAACAAATTTATGGATTCAAGAAACTCAGTGTATCCCACGCAGGATAAATTCAAAGAAAACCACGTGTATACACATCATAGCTCCTGAAAACCAAAGATAATGATAAAATCCTGAAAGCAGAGCGAAACAATGAATTATTTACAGGGGAACAATTCAAATGACCATGAACTTCCCATCAAGAGACCATCCAGACCAGAAGACAGTGAAACAAAATTTGTTAAGTGTTAAAAGACAAAAAATTGTCAAACCAAAATTCCATATCTAGCAAACATATTCTTTTAAAAAAAAAAAAATTAAGACAAGGCCAAATGAAGACATAGTCAGAAAAAGGAAAACTAAGAGATTACTCACAAGCAGACCTGAACTAAAAGAAATGCTAAAGAAAGTTCTTCAGGCTGAAGAGAAATTATACCAGAGGGAAATATGGATCTTCAGAAATAAATGAAGAGAATCAAAAACAGCAAATTTCTGGGCAAGTGTAAAAGGCCATTTTTTTCTCTTAAATTTTTAAAAATCATATGAAAAATTATACCATTGTCTTGTGGGGTGTTTGTATATGTAGATGTAATGCATATGACAATGATAACCAAAAAGACTGAGATGGGGGTGGGTATGGGAACTATTTGGTTACAAGATTTTTGCCTTTTATGTGAACTAGTTCAATATTAACTCTAAGTAGACTGTAAAATGTTAAAGATGTATGTTGTAATTCCTAGATAAACAAGTTTTTAAAATACAAGGAGGGATAACTAAAAAGCCAATAGACAACAAAATGAAGCATAAAAAATACTAGAAAATATTTCAGACTGACTAATAATGAAAATACAACATATCAGAATGTGTGGAATGCAGCTAAAGCA